GTTCAAAAGTAAAATATATAATAAATGCATTTGATTGGTAAACCAAATTAAAATGTGACATTTTAATCTCTAATGGTAATGCATGAATTTACGGAAAAACTCCACTAAATAATAGCGCTAAAAAGTGAGGGGCGTGGTGGGGCTTTGGCGATCGGCGCTACCGATGTCCATCAAGCTACTCCACAGCCAATCACGGGCCCCCTCCTTGCTCGGGCCCAGCCCCGCCTAGCCCAATGGTTAATGCGGCCCTGCTTACCATATTATTTTAGTATATTATCTTAATTATGAACACTGGTTTGTAATGCAAACGGTTTTACCGTTTACTGCATGTTGCTATTCTTCTCGTTATTCCCCTATAGCTGCTAATGAACCGGAAGTCTCGCACATAGGCTTATTCTGAGTTTAGGAATAAGGTGGATACCCAGCAAGACCTTGATTAGCTGGTTCAGGTGTGTTTGATTAGGGTTGCAGCTAAACTCTGCAGGACACCGGCCCTCCAGGACCAAGTTTGATGACCCCTGTGTTAAACTGTTCAGACCTGTAAACATGGCAGGTAGGGCTTACCAGAGGGTCTCTTTCTCCCCCCACCACATGTTTGACTGCTCCATCCTTCAGTGAAAGGCTACGAATGGTGCTGCTCTCACTGTCAGCGATAAATAGACACTCCCAGGGCTCAGTCGGGGCAAGAGCCAGGCCTGACGGCTGGGCCAGACCCGCTTTATGAGGGTACGCGTTATTTCTGTTCTCCTCATTCCCACTGCCCGCAAAGCGCACACATGTTCCTTTTTTGCTGTCGCTGGAAAAGGCATTTGATAGAGATGGTTAAGTCTGATTACAATGATTATATGGAATAGTTACTGCTCTTAATTTGGCTGACTCTAAAACAAAAGCCGGAATTGTGACAAAATAACTGCAATTAGGAACTAATAGCATGTAAGAGCAAAAAAAGTCTCTGGCACATGGTGCCAGAAAGTCTTGAGATTATTATATTTAATAAAGTATTTTTCCCCCGCATGTTCTTTATCTGATATATTAAAGCTGTTACCAGTGCTTGCTATGGCTCTAAAAACATCGAGAAATGTTACATTTGCGAACAACACACCAAGTTAAGAGTTCCTTTTTTATCAGGGCAATCAGAACGATTTCCGCCAACAGTGAACTGTGTGGCTGCCCAGAAAATGACATCACTTGGGCAGTCCTGTGGCCTCTTTATTTGAACGCTGCCTTGACTGTACAGAACTAACATGAGGAGAACACAGGGAGAAGAGCTCACCTCCCTTTGGGAAGCTTCCCGTCCTCCAGGAAGAGAGCCCAGATCTGATGCGTTCCTGCCATGGCTATGCACAATATATCACCACCTGCATAAACACAAACACACGCTATCAAATAGTAAACAGCTTACATGTTTACAACATATTGATGTTGATTATCTTGCTAAAAATAAGAACTAATTATTAGTCAAGTACACATTAAATGAGTAAACTCGCATAACCTTCATATCACATTTTATCCTTTCGGGCTGAATAACGATCATTTTACTAGATCTCACCAATGCATGCATGGTCATTCCACATTGTAAATGAGACTGCTTATATTCATATAAAGTAACATATGTTATCTGATGTAGGCGTCGGATTTAAAGGGATAGTTCACCCAAAAATTCTGTCATTAATTACTCACCCTCATGTCGTTCCAAACCCGTAAGACCTTCGTTCATCTTCGGAACACAAATTAAGATATTTTTGTTGAATTACGAGAGCTCTCTGACCCTCCCATAGACAGCAAGGATCCTAACACAATCAAGGTCCAGAAATGTAGTAAGGACATCTTTAAAATGATCCATGTGATATCAGTGGATCAACTGTAATTTTATGAAGCTACGAGAATATTTTTTGTGCGCAAAAAAAACAAACAAAAAAACCCACTTTATTCAACAATTCTTCTCCGCGTCACCCTGGCACCATTTTGGAGAGTATCACGACGCATGCGTGTGCTTTCCAATGAATGTAAACAAGGTGCAGCAGTTCTGCGTCAGCAGCATCACGTGCATGTGTTGTTTATGTGCAGGAAAAAGCACATGCATGCGTCGTGATAATCTCCAAAATGGCACCAGGGTGATGCGGAGAAGAATTGTTGAATAAAGTTGTTATTTTTGTTTTCTTTGCACACAAAAAGTATTCTCGTAGCTTCATAAAATTACGGTTGAACCACTGATATCACATGGACCATTTTAACGATGTCCTTACTACGTTGCTGTGCCTTAATCGTGGTAGGACCCTTGCTGTGTATGGGAGGGTCAGAGAGCTCTCAGATTTAATCAAAAATATCTTAATGTGTGTTCCAAAGATGAATGGAGGTCTTACGGGTTTGGAATGACATGAGGGTGAGTAATTAATGACAGAATTTTCATTTTTGGGTGAACTATCCCTTTAACTACCTGCATCCCGTTATAACAAAAAAAAGCAATAATTCTATATTATACTATATAGACTATTAACTATTATTATTGGTCTGTGGGGGAAAAAAAGTTTTTTACCTCAGTAATTCACCCTAAAAATGTAGTAAAGGAGCCTGAAGTTGATTACAGGACTAATTAATTAATCTAAATATTATGTTATGTACTATGGTGTCCAGCACAGAGTGACCTGAACTGATGAATTTACATTAGAAATCAGTTTAAGTACCATGTGGAGGGTCACTAATACTTGAGAGCATTGCGCTGCGATTTCTCTTTAAGGAATCAGAAACGAGGTGCTCTGTACTTGTGTCTAACAATAGACCTCTAATGGTACTGCGCTTATCAGAGACAATTTCATTGCTGGGCTGGAGCCTAACTACTTGCATTCATGAAAGAGCGAGACAGAGGGAAAGAAAGAGTGAGGAAAAGAGAGGGGGGAAAAGATTGAGATGGAAAGGAAAGAAAAGAAGCAGAACTCTCCTCACGCAGGTTTTGAAAGGGATCTGAGATGGATGGAAGTCAAACGAGCCAAAGAAGATGAAATCTGATGAATGACAAAGACATGCTGCATGATTTCCATATTACAATTAAACTTCAAGGTGGAAAACGAGTGAAAAAAGGGAAATATAAACCAGACAGATGGTTAAGGAAATATTATAAATGATGAAGTGGAAATTGCAAGTATTACAGTAGGTACTGATTTGTCATATACAGAGAAATGAATTTCAAGAACCATGTTGTTTCTAGCATCTCCTCCTACTTGAGCATCCAGTTTTCTTAAAAACAAATTACACAGTATGAATACGTGTACCGTTACACCCCTTATGTATGTGTGTATATACACACATACTGTATATAAGGGGTGTAATGGTACATGTATTCGTACAGCAAATTTTCAGTACATGTCTTTTAATTCGATACATGTGGGTACATGCGAGTACATGTGTACACAACAAATACAGCATTGTAGCCTTTTAACCACCAATAATACTCTCTGTGTTTCGTTACTGTCAATAAGAAACAAAGTCTCATCTTTTAAATTGTCCATTTTTACCAGGAAATTTAAAAAATAAATGCTGTTTTACGCTCTTCAGTGTTGGGCAAGTTACTCTGAAAATTTAATCAAATTACTGATTACTCCTTTTAAAAGTAATCACGTTACTGTTCTGATTACTTTATTTCAAGAGTAATTAGTAATTAGTTACATTACTAGTTACTTTACTTTTTTTCTCCATGAAATTTATTCAGCAATGTAACGCGGCAGTAACGTATAGAGATCTCGGCTTGTAACTATACTCCAATTACTATTTTGAAAATTATAACGCGTTAAATTACTCCGTTACTAAAAAAGTAATCAAATTACAGTAACGCATTACTAAGTAATGCGTTACTGCCCAATACTGGCGCTCTTTGATGTGGCGTGACAGATCTTTGTATAGACACATCAGTTCAAGCAGCAGTGTGGAGTGCGAGTGAATGCGATCATCTCTTCCTCTTTAATACCATTTACTACTAGTTACAGCATGAAATAAACCTGAATGAACATGTGAAGGTATGTTGAAAGATCCTGTGTGTGTTTCAATGTTTTAACCGTGGAAAGACACGGTTACGCTAAATATATGCCCTCTATTTGCTTATATATTCATTATATTTTACTTAACCTGAAGTAGAAACATAACTTTATAATTAGATTTTGAAGTTAATGCAAAAACTGCCTTACATACAGTTTACAAATTTGTACACAAATGTTCTTTTCTTTTTTTATTTGTGTTTATTATATAAAATAAACAGAAACTGAATTTAATAGTTTTGTATCGGTTATTTGTAAGCTTAATATTATAGTAATGTGTAAGTAAAGAGCCCCAGATTACAAAATATAGATTTTTTTATCCTTACGTACATTCTAATTGTATTTATTTAAAGACAAAGACAATTTGTTCAGTAAACCACTGTCTAATAATAATAAAATAAATAAATAAAAATGTATATTTAGGTTTCTTCCCCCTGCTGTACCAAACTATAATTTTTGTCTATTGTGACACCCCTAATATATATTATTTTTTTCCTTAACCTATCTATTAACACTATGGTATAAAACTATTCTTGCAAAAATAATAAGAAATTTCATCTGCTGGAGTGTTTAGGAAAAATGCTACATCCTAACCCTTTTGATCATTTCTGAACATAGAATAGGCATTGTTAATGTGTAAGTAGATGACCTTATGTTAATTAATTCAACTTTCTGACATCAGAAATCAAACAATCTGGAATGAGCAGCTTCTGTGGCTTAGTTAATAAATGGTCTTTTGAACTGGAGGAAGCTTTTATTTCAGAAGTGAAAATTCTGATTTTATGACCACTTTAAATCAAACATTCAAAAAGACTGTTGCATTAAACACATGAAAGGAAGAAAAATAAAAGGAAAGGAAGAAGGAAAGAAATTGAAATAATAAAAGTAATAATAAATAATCAATAAAAGTAAAACGGCATCAGGGACAACAGCAGATGCATAAAGGAACAGGAAACAGCGATATCTTATTTTCTTCGTAGGATAACCTGCAAGAAAGCAACCGACTGTTCAGGGAACAGACCTAATACACAGCAGGAACCATCAATGAATGTGCTCCAAACTCACGCAGACTAAATCAGACACACACCACACAGACCACTTTAAACGCCTCTCTCTCTCTCGGCTAATGCTGGCCACATCAATTTCTTCAGCTGTTTAATGGAACGATATGACTGAATAATGCAGACTGATTTAATAATGCCTTAAAATATAAAGTAGGAATTTTAATTATGTTTTAAAAGCATGTTAAATTCAATTTTCTCAGACCTGTGGGACATCTTGTCCAGGGCCGCTGTGTATAAAGATATTACTGCAAAACAAAAAGAGGCAATCTTCGACAAAAACTGTTTGTTAGAGGCACCATTTATCAGAAACCACAGCCACATGAGTGCTTTCTGATCATATCACCTTCTTTTTCTTTGGTGTTGTGGGTTTAACTCAGGCAACACCACAACATTCAGCTCTGTGTCTCTGGTTAGCAACTGACAGACCGTGCAATTTACTCCACGGCTGCTTCCAAACAACAAGAGGCAATTTTAGCAGAACAAAGATCTTTTTGCACCCCGCACCATACACACTTGTGAAAATCAAAGGCGAGTGTGGTATCTACAGAGCGAAGACTTCTGAGAACAACCTGATTAAAGATTCCAAGATGGACAAGACAGATAGAGAGAAGATGTGAGAGGCAGAAAAAGGGATGTATAAAACGCTCCCAGCAGAATAATGAAACGCAGATTCACAAGATATTAAATTTTATGAGCAAGGTAGAAAAAAAAAGGCAGAGTGACTCTAATTCTAAAGGAAGGAGCAGAGTATACTGGAGGAGGATGACCACTAAAAGTACCTGCGTTGCCAAGGGCAACGTCCCAGGGAGAGCTGATTGGCTGTTGTGGTCCCGGTGCTCCGCCTTCTTTATCTGTACCTTGAACGCCAACGCCAGCTAAGGTCGAGACTTTTCCTTCTGAAAGTTTGATCTTGAGAAGAAGAAAAAAAACCATCAGATTTTATTGAGGACAGAGACAAGCGGTTTTTCAAGCACCAATCAGAGTGAATTTGGGTTAGAGTTGCCAGCAGGAGAACAAGCTTGACCCGATTCTGCTGATTTACCTTTCTAACAAGGTGGTTCTCAGTGTCAGCCACGTAGACCGTGTCTCCCTTTATGAACACCCCTTGTGGGGAGCTGAACTGTGCCTCAGACAAATTTCCATCTCGTCTCCCACTTGAAGGACCTATGAAGGTAAAGATATGAAGATAAACTTGTAAAAGTAGACTAAAATAGCCTCCAAACCTTCACCAAAAAGAAAATTTGCAGCCTTTCTATACTTAAAATATAGGGCAGTTGGCAACCCTAATTTTTTGGAACCATCCTGCATTTAAGGGAACAGAACTGCATTTCAAGGACGGATGCAATTTGCCCCTTATTTCAGGTTGTAACACCCAAACAGCTACAAAGAACATGCTTTTTTTGCAGCGAAGAAATGCACTCTTGCATAGTTTTGCTTTCAGAATTAGGTTTCATTTAAAAAAATAATAGATATACATTTTCTGTATTCATTCAAGCTGTTTTGTTTAATAATCAATAAATTGCATAAATGTGACCTTAATTCAATCAAATTACTATTTAAAAAAAATTCAATTATACTGCAAATAAATAATTTATACATTAAAAGAACTACAACAACAATACTATATAAATAACATTTTGTAATGATTTAAAAGAAATCTCTTATGCTTACCATGGCTGCATTTATTTGATGAAAAATATAGTAAAACCAGCATTATTTATTGCAATTTAAAATAACAGTTTTCTATTTTAAAATGTAATTTATTCCTTTGATGGCCAAGCTGAGTTTTCAGCAGCCATTACTCCAGCCTTCAGTGTCACATGATCCTTCAGAAATCATTATGCTGATTTATTGCTCAAGAAACATTTCTTATTATTAGCAAATATTGAAAACTGTTGTGCGGTTTAATATTTTTATGGGAACCGTGATACTTTTTTTTATTTTTGTAACAATTTAAAAATAAAAAAAAATTCACTTTTGATTAATTTAATGCATCTTTGTTTAATAATAAATCTTTGCTTAATAATGAATGTTAACAAATCTTACTGACCCAAAACCTTTGAATGGTAATATGTGCATACATTTTAATAATAATTAATTGAAGATCCGATCTCAACATATGTCAAATTATATTAAGACAAAATTAAATAAAGACAAAACAATAGTCAAATTCAGTGTCCCCTGAATTTGATAACTCTACTTAAAAAGTATGTATTAACAGGTCTTACCCCCTATTGTGTGCAGCAGCTGGCCAGTATGGGAGACCACCAGTACCCTGTGGTGTCCTGTGTCGGCAATAGCCAACTGCTTGCTGCTGGGGTCCATGGCTATTTTCCCAGGGAAAGAGAGGATGGAGGGGGGCAGGGAGTCTCTATACAGTTTGATTCCCACATCATGGTCCTTGAGCAGCCCTTGTTTTCTGTAGTGCTTGAGGGTGGCCTCAGTGAAAAGGAAGAGCTGTTCTCGATGGCCTTCACCTACCAGGGAGAAAAGCAGATTTCCCCTGGGTCCCAGCACCACTAGCGTGGGCCAGCAGGACACCTCCAGCTCCTGCCACAGACGGGCATCGCTGTCGTTCACTACGGGATGGGTGATGTCATATCTCAACACCGCACTGCGTACGTTCTGTAGGACTTTCTCATTGGGGAATTTAGCTGAGTGCACACCTATGACAACCAGACCATCTGCAGAGATGAAAAAGAAGGGAAATGCAAGATATATAGAGGGTTTGACACTGAAGAGGAGATATGGGACCGGAAAACAAGTCCCCAGACTTAAATCTGCATCCCAAATTGTTTGTTGCACATACACTACCACCTGGCTTTGACAATCTTAAAATAATCTTGTTTTCGACTTCTAAGATTACCAGAAAGACCAATTATAGCTCAAATGATGAAATTAAAATAAAAACAAATAAAAGGACTACTTTATCAGCTAGCACTTGATACTCTCTTTGAACACCATCTGTAATGGGGATGAAAAAGAAAAAGTTTTTAACCTACCAAAACCTGCTGGCCTTAGTAGAACTTTTATTAAAATGCCCTGAGGTACATTTAGGTTTCAAAGTTATTCTAAAAGGTCCTTTATAAAGAAGGTTTATGAAATAATAAATGTTTAATCTATCAAGGTCTGAACCTAAATCAAAAGGGAGTGATAAAAGGAAAGTGGCTTTAATTTAATTATTTAAATGTATTTTTTGCCTAATTAAGGTTTTCGTGGATGCTTTTTTTGTTCGTTCAAAGAAAATCTATTCAGGTTACACAAAGCTTTTCATTCTTATCTCCTCTAACAATGCGTGGATGCATGTTGCGTTGGTGTATGCTTCTGAAACATTTTATCCAAGTCCTTGAATACTGAAAATTCCAAAGAACCATCTTTTGTCCATGTGTCAGCGCCTTGAATGTTTTCAACAGTACTAAACCTCAATCTGCATGAGTCACAGTTCCTTCCTTTTTAAAAACATTCAATAAAAGAACAACAAAGTCTATCAGGAACAAAAATGTCTGTAAAGACATGAAAAACAGCATTTAACTTGCTATAAAATGTAACAATCACATTGTGAAACTCCAAAATCCAACGGATTCTAAACAGAAACCATCATACTAACATTGACAAAACCATTTAGGAGGGGTTTTGTTACGGAGTAGACATGCAAAGAGGTTAGCCAGTCATAACACAGGTCATTTACATAGACGCCTTAAAAGGTAAAGTAGCAAAAACTTGCTGTTCAACATTGTGTCCTAATAGATGGAACCGGATACATTTTCACTGACAAGTAATTTGTCTGTCCACAATGAAGGAGGTAATGATTAACAATAAGGCATAAAATTAGCCATCTATGACATGTTTAATATACAGTTATGTGGGTTTTTTAGACCAATTGGATTTACTGTGGGCGGGCAACACAACTCCTCAAAAGGAAAACTAAGCGACTAGCAATGTCCTGTGACTCATTGCTTATCAGACTCACAAAAAAAAGAAAGAATAAATTTGATTGCTTGACACTTTATGTAGTATCTGGATAGGCCATAGTGTAAAGGCTGTTCACATCAGAATTAATTATATTTCTATAAGAATATGGTAGTCTACAATGAAGAGAAACAATATGGTTGGACTCACTTTCAGAATTTTTTTCCAGCTGATGAATGATAAAAACATTTGACAGCCCAAGAGAATCTACCCGACAAAGCTCTCCATCATTTAAAAGCAACAAATGACAACTGCAGCATATGTTTACAATAAACAGAACATTATCTCACATTTGTGTGGACGCAAATTTAGTTATATTTATAGTTATTTTTCTTGTAAATGGGCCTTAAGGGTCAGAGGGGGTGTGAAAACTGGTTAAAGTTAACTGAATCGACTGTTTTCATGCAAGAATCCTTGACTATATAATCCTTGAATTATAAATATACAAAAAACTAAATGCTACAAAACAAGTACAGAAAATATAGGCCCCTTTAAAGAAATAAGAATACAAGAATGCCAGATGTACACATCCTAACATGGGCTACTGCATGCAGAATGCCAAAACCAATCAAGGAAAACACAGGGGTCTTGATTGAGAGCTCATGCAGCCCCCAGGCATCCCATTATAACCAATGCTCTGCGTTTCTCTGTTTGTTCCAGTCTCCTGCACTGAGCTACGGTCTGCCTTCACTCCGCTTGACTTTGTCTAATTTAACAAAAATGTCAGCGGAACTTCTCCGCCTCGTCACTGGAAATGACATTCCTCCATTCTGTGTCCCTGGGGTAAGCGACACAGCCATTGATGATTGAAGCAGACGGATGGTGGTTTTTAAATTCCGGTTTCAGCCGTCCATCAGAAGATTAAAATTCATGGGCTCAGCAGCGGAGACTGGAAGCACACACACGGGGGACCAGTGTCCCATTTCAGTATGCTTTTAGCCTGCTTCCCCTCTGCCTTTAAATGCATTTGAAATACACCTAGCATAATCAAAATGTGATCAATGTTTTTCTGTACTTTTCCTCATGTCTCCCCAGCTGATTTCCCCACAGGGGATTAAAGGCAAGATTCTTCTAGTACTATCACTACTTATTACTTATTGTCTTTATTATGGTTTAGATTACACACACACACACACCTATGTGTGTACCTGTTTTTCTATTCTGGTGGGGACTTAAACCTGAATACACACAGACTCATGGGGACTCGTGTCACGGTGGGGACCTAAATTGAGGTCCCCACGGGTAAACAAGCTAATAAATCACACAGAATGAAGTTTTTTGAAAATCTAAAAATGCACAAAGTTTCCTGTAAGGGGTAGGTTTAGGTGTAGGGCAATAGAATATATGGTCTGTACAGTAGAAAAACCATTACACCGATGGAGAGTCCCCACAAGGATCGCAAACCAGACGTGTGTGTGTGTGTGTGTAAACAATAATTAAGACAATAAGTAATAAGTAGTGATAGTACTAGAAGAATCAGACAAGTCAACAATGTTTACAACAAATGTAAACTGTATTTACTATACAATTTCCAGCAAAAAAAAAATGCAAATGAAACTTTAAATTAAATGAAAAATATAAATATATTCTCTTGACACACATAAAATATGTTGCAGAAAATAAATCTGCATTTTTGTGGTGGTGCCACTGAAAATACTGGCTGGGCAAGAACAAATCTGAACAGTTTTTTTAAAGCAAATGTTTTTCTATGATATCCTCCCAGAACCAAGAGAGTATGTGACTTGAATGGCAAGAGTAAAAACAAAGTTTCTGTGTAATAATAAAAGGTCTCTTCTGTGATATAATCTACAGTAAACCCTAATAATTAATGAGACAGTGGGAAGAGGGGTGGGGAGGCATGTTCTGCTTCTGTAACAGAACAGTGGTAACAGAATGTACCAAAAGAAGTGCCAGAGATGAGGTATGTGTGAGATATGCCAGCGAGTGGGCTGACGGCTGCCTGGCCAGTTGCCCCGGATGATCCCACAGAAGTGGCCACCGATGGGCTACTGACTGCTGGAGCTGATAACACTGGATGCAGAGCTGCTATAATAAGCCACATACCAGTATAATGGTGTATCTATGTGAAACTCTCTGCCCTCGACATGGTTTGTGTGGATATTTAAAGTCTCCTATCCGATACAGTTAAGAGATAATGAGAATGTGTTGCTGGACAAGAAGAAGTTATCAAGCTCAAAAGGCTCTCACTTCTGCCCCAGTGAACCCTGGGAATGATTTACTATAGGATTTTTGTAAAGTTCTAATCAACACAGTCAAGAAACATTTATCTGAATTGCCTATTGAGCGTGGCAATTGAACGGTGCAATGCTTTTGTTTACCTAATGATATAATTTTACACTTTTACTGGTCCACAAACAGTCTCTATCTAAACATGTATCACTCATACCTTCTATGGTGTAACTTTGCTCCAACTGGTGTAGATCAGGAAGTAGGTGCATGCAGTTTATGCAGCAGTAGGTGAAGAAGTCAAGCACCACCACTTTGCCCGACAGTTCCTTCCTGAGTGACAGTGGGCCGTCTGTGTTCAACCATTCCAGTCCTGCAAAATAACAATAGAATTTAATGTTTAACTAATATTTTTATTATGAAAATTTACATTAAATGAAAAAAAACCCCCCAAATAAATAAATTATCCTGATATAAGCATATAAAATATGTTGCTTCAAATGATTCAGCATTTTTTTGTGGTGGTGCCTTTAAAAAAAATAGGCAAGGCAGATACAGATCTGAATAGACCAGAACCAACACTACAGTGTACTGTATAACACTCACTGTTGATTCAGTACATTATAAAGCAGTAAAAAGCAGACAGAAGCAATTTGTAATTCCAAATTGTTAGTCGTTTATCTAAACCGCGAATCAATCTATGATTGATCTTAAGTTTCAAAGCCACTCTAATGAGATACAAATACTGTATACATTCTCACACCCACAGAGTTCATTTACACTCTTGCCTTCTTCAAAATCCGGTATAATTAAATCGTCCTTTTCGTCTATTTTGTGTAAATACTGATGTACGAGATTTTCCTTCTCTTCTTGAGTCGTCGCGTCTTCTAAAGCATAGTCTAGCTGACTCTGAATGGGGAAAAGATCTGACAGTTTACTGTAAGACGCCATGACTCCCACAACAACAGAATAGCGACTAACATTTACGTTCGGCACTTTCGACAAACAAATTGCAACAGTATCCAAGACAAAATAAACTCGTTTTGCGAGTAGTTAACATATTCGTCATATTATTAAAAATGCTGTTTGTATTAAATCTATAAATAGATGTCCCATGTCTAAAATGAAATGACTCGATACGATTTGCATTATGGAATATGCGAACATCAATGTTAAAATAAATGCGCTTTCAACATTGGCGGTAAGAGTAATGACGAAAGACACTCGACGGGATTATCTAATATGAACGGAATTTGTTAAAATACTTTTACAGAATACGTCTTTCTTAAGGCTTTTTGCTTTCGGGATGAATTTCTGAATGATACGGTCTTATTTGTGCTGTGGTCGCGTTTTTTGTCTTAAGAGAACATGAATGTGATGTTACAAAACAGCTTCGTTCAGAACAAAGCAGTAGAATCTGTTAATGATTACAAATGTCACAGAGCGGCTCTGAAAGTGAAATCTGGGATTATAAACCTCTTAAGAAAACCAAAAAACGAAGCAGCAAATCACAGATAACAAGAGAAGATGGGACAAAGAGGAGAAAGGATAGCAATCCTGGGACATCAGTGCAAAAAACAGAAGTCAACAGTGCTGAAACGCACACTGGTTTAGACCAGAATGGCAATAATGCTCCCATTAACACTGTGAACTCAGGATCCCTGGACGTGAATCATGGGACACTTTCTCAGGATGTTCAGGAAAAAGACCCTCAGTCAGGAGGATTCTGTCCTGTCTGTCAAATGCCATTTTCCCTCTTGGTGGTTCAGTCTCAACAATGGCATGTTGCAGAATGCTTAGATAACCCTGGTGACAACTGTAAAGGTAATGTTTTTCATAAATTCATATGTGAAGTCAACAGTCATTCTGTTGTCTAACACACCAGATTCAACAACATCGTTCATTACAGGGTTCCCACACATATATGGAAATATCAGGGATTTTTTTAATTGTTATTTACATAGCTGGAAAATGTATATGTACATTTACTATAGATATAATTCACATTCGCATTATTTTTAAATGATACACCACTGTAAAATATAGACAGCTTGAGAATGCTATTCTTGAACACAATCAGTTATGAAACTATTAAAATAAATTGGCCAATGGATTTTTTTTATTTTCTTTTATGACTGATGTCTTTTACTTAAATATTTACTATATGTAGGCCTACAACTAGAAAATTAATTGATTATAAGGTTTGAGAAGCCCATTAGTAACATGCTCTTATCACTTTAATGTGGAATATTTCCAAGAATATTATTGTATAATATTTAAGAAAAAAAATTACACTTTCTCTGTCTCTAATGTTACAGAATGTCCAGATGGTCTTCATTGTACATCCTCCATTCCCAATCACTATAAGAGATACAGCCACTCTCTACTTGCTCAGAGTCGAGCGCTAAACGACTGCACGACCCAAGCCATCTCAGACTTCAGCTTGAAGTCAGTTAATAATGTTGCACCTGGTACGGAGAGCTCTGTGGACAGCGCTGTGAATGTATCTGCTTCATCCAGCCAAAGTTCATCTCCTGGTGATGGACCAAAGGGAACTCCCACCCAGAGTAACGCACTGCTGCTTTTGCGCTCCCCTAATACTGAAGATATCAAGAAAAAGAAAGGTTGGTCTCCTTCCGTCAAAATATCTCAATCTCAGAATTCCTCACAGGAACCAAGAATGAAGACTTCAATTCCAGCTAAAGCACATAGTTTTGACAATGCTCTTCAGACACAGACTAATGAGGTTAAAGCAGAGTTCTTTGAATGTAATGATGATGATTATATCTCCTACTCCCCACTCTCTGAACTTCCAAATGTGGATAAGGAGCACAGAACTAATATAGAGATTCACAGTACTGCACTGCAGGAAAATGATGATGATGATTCTCTTAAACTGTTCAGCGATGAAGATGATGATCTATTCTATAATATGCTGGACCAATATGAGACAGGGAACATGGAACATAGACCAGACAAAAACTCATTAGACACCTGTGAGAAACTGCAGACATCGTTAGCACCCGATGATCACCTGATTACTTCCAGCTCCACAGGTGTTTCTGATGGAACATTTCAGCATGGACCTCAATCAATAGGAAAACAATCCACAACAAATCCTGAAGATCCAAACTCCCAGCTACAGTCACCTCAAAGTTTGGTATTAGAGTGTCTTCGGGAGCGCATATCTAATCCTGTACATGCCAACAGTTATATAAACCAAGAGTTGTCTTCCACCCAAACAGCCCTAACTCAGAAAACACCATCTATGGCTCCTAGGAGAACTCAGACTAAAGCAGGTCCCTCTGGATTAAAGCAAACAGACATTGGGGTGTTTTTTGGCTTGAAGCCATTGAATGAAAAAAAGGCTGAGGAGGAAGTGAAGGCAACGGTCAGAGAGGCCGATCAGCAAGGGTCTAGGAGAGCGAGGATTTCAGAAGCTCAGGGGGAAGACGCTAAGCTCCAGGGTAGACGGCGTAGGAAGAGCAAAGCTCCATCTGAAGTGTCCAGTGTCTCGCCTGCTGCAGAAGAGGGTACGACTCGGCCCACGCAAACAGAAGGAAAGCGAGGAGGGAGGGCAGAGAGGCAGAAAAGATGGAACAGAGGAAGAGCGACAGATGGAGATCCTGAGGAACCCAAGCGGTGTCCGTTCTACAAGAAAATTCCTGGTTTGTGAATCGCTTTTGTTTAGACCTACTTAATACCAGTTGTTAAGATTGCATAAGCATTTACACTTTCGGTCTTAATAGCTTGTGCCAGAAGAACTTTATTGTACAAGATGTGTGTTTATTCTTTTACTCTCATAATAACTGTTATTGTTTAGCTTGTTTTGGTCTAATGTGCTTTGGAGAATGTAATATGCTTTTTCTGTTTAGGAACTGGTTTTGCTGTGGATGCTTTTCAGTATGGGGTTGTTGAAGGTGTCACAGCCTACTTTCTCACTCACTTCCACTCGGACCACTATGGTGGCTTGAAAAAAGACTCTGTTTTACCCATCTACTGTAACAAAGTATGTATCCCAACCTCATTGCACTTTAAGAATAATGAAAGCAGGATTTTCCTTGCTCTTTGGAAAACTGAAGAGTTCAATTTACTATATAGAAATTCTCTAACATTCACAGTTCCCTCCCAAGAAACTAAAGGGATGGTTAACTCAAAAATAAAAATTCTGTCTTTATTTAATCACCCTCATGATCTTCCAAACCTTTATACATTTCTTTCTTCTTTGAAATACAAAAGAGCATTGGGAGCCACACAGCTTTGAAGACCATTGACTTCTTTTGTATACACACACAAAAAAACACTAAAGCACATCTCAAAGTGTTTTCTTTTATATTCCACACAAGATAGCAGGTCATACCGTTTTGGAGCAACATGGAGTTGTTTAAATCATAAGTAAATCATGAAAGAATTTTTATTTTTGGTTGAAATTTAAACCTAACACTTAAACTTCAAAAATGTGTTATGGTTATGAAATCAGGAATATCAACACATTGACATGACACATCACAAATTTACATAAATCAAGGAAAGTGAAAAATGGAAAAACAAATGGGGAAAGCAAAATCCCAATGAAGAAAAGAAAATGTTTTCTTTTTTTCTCAATGATGGTGTCAGGGAGGATTTGCTCTTGACTGAATCTTGGATTTCATGACTAACTGGTGTTAATCATGGCAGATAACTGGTAACCTGGTGAAAAGCAAGCTGAAGGTGGGTGAGCAGTATGTTCATGTTCTCCCAATGAACACAGAGTGTATGGTGCAAGGAGTGAAGGTCACTCTCCTGGATGCTAATCAGTGAGTGTATCCTCTAACTAATAAACATTTGAAGCCAATTTTATTACTTAATAAAAGGTTCCTATGTTCATACAGAATGACAAGACCTTAATTACTATGACTGTTCCCCCCCAGCTGTCCTGGGGCAGCCATGTTGCTATTTGTTTTGCCAGATGGCCAGAAGGTACTCCACACAGGTGACTTCCGGGCTGATCCGTCCATGGAGCGCTACCCAGAGCTGCAGGGTCTCAGGATACAGACCCTCTATCTGGACACAACGTGAGTTCCTTACTAATAAAGCTACTTTTTGGTGCTGCGTTATGTGTTGCCCACTTTGATTGCATCAACTGAGATGGGTTATAGGGTTGAGATTAAAAACAAAATAAAACTTTTTTTCTCCATAGGTATTGCAGTCCTGAGTATACATTTCCCACTCAACAGGAAGTCATCACCTTTGCCGTAAACACAGCTTTTGAGCAGGTCACACTGAACCCTCGTACACTTGTGGTTTGTGGCACCTACGCAGTTGGGAAAGAGAAGGTTTTTCTAGGTCAGTGAGCAATGTTGTCCTGCTTTGTCCAGACCTCTTGTAGACCTTGTGCTACTTCATCCGCTCTTGAAAGGATAGATTGTTCACTTTTCTATTATCCGTGACCGTCATATTCACTCGTGAATGAGGCTTGTATAAAATAAAACGGTTTAAAAAAGAGGTTTGCAAATGCTGTCCTAACTTGACTTTGAAATTATGTTCCTGTTCCACAGTTTGTCTGGCTTCCTGTTCGTTTTAAAAAAATGCATCCATGATTATAGTACTGCACCCATTTACTTTTAAAGCTATGATTACTTAGTGTCCCACTGTGGACTGTTTTGCTAAAATGAAATCTCACATTGGATTGCAACTTCTTTCCAAATCCCAATAGACTAATTGTCATTCGTTCCTTCTTGTCTATATAGAGATATATAAACATTTTTTACCTGTCCCACCTGTTCCTCTAGCTGTATCGGAAGTGTTGGGCTCTAAGGTGTGTTTGTCCAAGGATAAGTATAACACCATGTGCTGCCTGGAGTCGGAGGAGATTGGCCAGTGCATCACTACAGACTGGCGGGCGGCCCAGGTGCATGTACTTCCCATGATGCAGCTCAATTTCAAAGTGAGTTGAACTACATTTAAAACTTCTGTGGCTTGTTTGTCATATCTGTAAGTTTT